TTCACTCTGGCTCTCCCGCTGCTCCGCGCTCTCCCCTTCTCTCTCTCTCTCTCTCTCTCTCTCTCTCTCTCTCTCTCTCTCTCTCTCTACGTCCTAACGAGCCATTGTTAGTACGTCTGTCGGGTTACTGTCAGCTAGGGTTTTTCACGCTGTATCACATTCTCACTCCTTTTCAGAAATTCCAAGACGCAAGGCTCGCTCGCCCCCTTTTTTAACTCGTATAGGGAGAAGTCAGAGCGTGTTTTTTACCCGCGTGTTGAAGAAATTCGCTAAAGGTTTAAGAATGTTTTTTTTAGAGTTTTAGAGTGTATACTCGTCTTTTATGCCGAGAACTCGCAAGGAAACTGGTTAATTTACGAGAGCGACAGCTAGCGGAGTCGATCGACGCGTCACTCGGTGACATACAAGCGCGTAAAATAGCGTTAATGAATGTGACAGTCTGTTAATCTTGCAAGAGGCAGAGAGAGCTGATCCGTCCAATCTTTTTCCCTGGAATAAACCCCACGCGCAATTCTAACTGCTCTCGTATGTCTTGTCCAGATGTTTCAGCGGTGACCGGAAATCCTTCATGCATTTCGTATGCTACTCCTCCCCACCCACCGCCCCCTTTCCCACCACCCGGTAAAATGACACAGAAATCATAACGGTATGTGTACATACGGCCACGCGCGCCGCGTCACGCACGCGAGCACGCGAGATATCGCATGCGCGTGACGTCACGACCGCGTGATGCCGTGTGTGCGTTTATATACACTATACATAGAGTGTATGTTATGCCAGAATGCAGTCTAACTATGGCTTGGGTTAGAATTCCACTTCTGATGGAGGCATTTTTTTCTATAAGCGATGTGGAGTTTTGCGACTGTTTTTTGTTATCATCGAACGAGAGCGAATGGCGTTGGAGGGCGGCAGCGGGATCACGTCGTCACGTGATCCGCAACAACGAATCATTGCTCTTCGGATATTTCGGCCTGTTCCCGGTGCGGTGCGGAAAGCAATCGGATATTTTTTCTCGCTTTTTTCGCAGAATTTCTACCGAGACAAGTGGACAGCTAAGTGAAGTCCACGGCGTCGCAAAAAAAATTTTGATATCACCATTTATTTGCACACTCTACGGTATAGAGCTAATAAACTAATACAGATACCCAGAGTAGAGAACCAGGCAACGCGAGCGAAAGTGGAATTCCCCCCTTACCTATTATTGGCACGGCGTCAGATGTCGCCGGTATGGTTTCGGCAATCATAAGCAGAAACACCATAAGGGCCAGCAATATGGTCACACCTGGAAAAAGAAACAACTCTACAGAGTGCCAAAGGTGTCGGTAAGCGATAGCATCAGTCAATCGGCGCTTACCTATGATCGGTACGGCGTCAGATGTCGCCGGCATAGTTTTATTTACAAGCATGAGGAACATCATAAGAGACAGCAGAATGGTCACACCTGGAAAGAGTAACGAACGACGAGTGCATCACAGTATCATTAGACGCTCTGCGTTTCATCTACTGTCAACCTAATTATACATAGTTATATATTATA